ATGTATATAATGTTTCTAGCACAGCTCTTTTTCCTTTCCACAGTATTTCCAAAAGAATATTGAGCTAGCATTAGATTTTGATGGGCAGATAAATCCAAGTGAATTGGAGGGAATGTGAAGCAGACATCAGGAACATGGCCCACTGTGAGCTCCTTCAGGAGCTGTGCTATGGCTCCTGCTGTTTCCCTGTGTCCTCCATGGTCTCTTGTGCAGAGTAGGAGCCAAACCATATATGGATGGACTTGGCCAGAGACAAGTGCTTATTGGTTTTCTTTCTGAAACATTTAGGATGTTATAGGGAAGCACTTTGATGTAGGTCAGACTGTTTTTCTAACTCTTCCACACCCTGGGTCTTAGAAGGACTTTCTCAACTCTTTTGAAGCTTAGGGTTTGTATCTATGAAATAAATGACAGGACAGGATGCTTTCAGGGTGTGATCTCCACACCAACCCCTATTCTAGTATCCAAATTCCACAGCTGTGTAAAGTTTGGGGTTGGTAAAGACAGTGGTTTTATATTGGATTCTGTCCCTCTCTCAAATTCATGTGTGGAAGCCCTAACATTTTGTGTGATTGTATTTGAAGAGCTTTTAGGAGATGATAAAGACTAAGTGAGGTCATAAATGTGGGTCTGAACTTGATAGGCCATGGCCTTACAAGAAGAACCCAAGCATGAGAGCAAGAGAGAGATCTACCAGACGATCTTGACACCCTGATCTTGGACTTTCGGCCTCCAGAAAGTAAGTTTTTGTTGTTTAAGGCACCAGTCTTTACTATGGCAATGTGACAGAACAAGACAGCAGCAGTACAGATGATCTGCAAGGAAGACTTTAGGGAAAGCTCTTACTTGTAAAATAACAAACTAGTAAGAGAGTTTGGGCTGAGGCTATGCTTTTCCTGTTGTTCCCACAGCCTATGACCAACAGCAAACCATTCTCCAACTCGCAAGGTGTGTACTTAAAATAGGCTTCTCATGAGATCCCAGGGATGGAAGGCTGTCGAGGCATCCAGCTGCATGCCCCCAATCAGCATCTGCTAAGCACTCAAAAGACTGGGCCACAAAAACATTTGAGTCAGTCTTTGGTGTATCTTGCTTCCCACAAACCTACCGTGACATTGTGTTTTTGCAATGAAGCATTTCAAACATCAAAAGGGGCCTCATGAAAAAGCCCACAAGACCCAGCATTTCCAGTCTTAATAGATGTTGAGGTGTAGCTCACACCTACTCTAACTCCTCACTGAAAGCACTGCTTATGGGCTTGCCTTGAGCATTCGTGTTTTTGTGATCACTCTCATACTGTGTCCTCTTGAGAATTTTGGTTCAAATGCTGACAGACTGTTGATATCAGACAAGTCAGTTAATTTACTCGAGTGTCTTCTCTCATCTCAACTCATCTGATCAGCAAATAGTTATTGGATACTTCTAATACCAGCAAAATTCTAAGTTTAGAACTCATGTTTAGGCATCTCTTTTTGAGACATTCTGATGGTTTAGTTACTCATAGGATTTAATAACCAGTGTATGGCTTCCCACACTGTCACCAGTCGTGCATAATATGTTGTGCTTTCATATGAGGACCGAGTATGAAAAAGGGCCAATCTACAGACCTCTGCCTGGACTTTATCATATCAGAGTTGCCATGGGGTTCTTGCTACAAAAGAACTTGATGATCCTCGTAGGAGAAATAGTGAATGTATTGACTGCTGTTAAAACCTTCAATTTAGGAGGGCGCACAGAGGTGCACTGTGGCTTTTTGATATGTGCTTCAGCTGGCAAGGTTATCTGGAGGTAGGAAACACCAAAGATTGGCCTGGGATTCATTTGGTTTATAGATGAGAACGAGTATCTTTGGAGTAAGCCTGTGTAGTTCTCTTAAATACCTGCTAATTTGTCTCAGGGTGAAAGGGCAAAAATTTGATAAACTGAGAAAGTGAATTATTTGTAACAAGGAATTACAAAGCTACTGTTGGGAAAATGTGTTAAGATTTTATTCAACAGCTGTTTATTGAATGCATAATTACTTGCCAAGCACTGTGCTAGGTGGAATATATGTTCTCTGTGCTTGTGGAGTTTATGGTAGATTGGAGAAGGTAGATATTATAAATATGTATGCGTATAAAAAGAAATTGTGATAAGCACCAATAGAGAAAGAGAAAAATAAAAAGATATCATGAATGAAAATATTAACAAGAATCATGTTTAGATGGAATGGTCAGTGAAGACCTGTTTGAAGAGATGCTATTTAGATGAGGACTGAACAACTCAGCAAGCTGGTTATATAAAACTGGGCAGAGTTGGGGCAAAAGGCATAACAGGGAGCATCTCAAGCAAAAGTCCTGAGATAAGAAAACCCTTGTGCATTGGATAAATTGAAAGACATTAGGAACGTAGTGTGATGAAAGAGGAAGGAGGTAAAATGAAACAAAGTACAGAATTAAAAAGAACCCAGATACTGCAGGGCTTTAGAAGTTGTAGTAAAGAGGATTTTACCCTAAGGTCAGGGGGAAGCCACTTACATACTATTTTGAATCAAATATTGACATGAGCAGATTGACATTTGCATCAGTGGCAACCTTGGCTCACCTTAGTAAGGGGTAGGGGGAGGGAAAATGCAGTGTTGTCATCCTTCTTCCATGACAAAGCCACCAGCAGGCCAATAACAGCTGCAGCTGCAGAGGCCAGTACTGAGCGAGGTTGCAGGGGAATCTTAATTCTCACCACAGTGTCCTGTTCTTGACCTGGAACCCTCCTGGATTCATTGGTCAGTCAAGGTACCTTTGTGAGTTTTTGTCTAGTGCTGATGAACAGGCACTGTACCACATACAATGAGTTAATACAAGCACTGTATCTCTTCTACTCTTTCTTCGTCCCCTAGTTTTCATATGAAACCTGGAAATTACAATGATAAATATAAGATGTAGGCTTATGATTGGCTCCCGCCAACAAGAGGCAACCGCATGAGATTTAGAGGATGGGGGAAGAGAAGCTGTTCATAGCAGTTTCTGGAAGGACTGCGGCAAACAGTGTAGTGTCTTCCTGCAACCGTTGATTATCCTCCTCAGTCATCCCTGGTAACTGGAATTACTATTATTTGCAGCTGAGCATTACAGCACAGCATTTCCTAAAAGTGGCTTCCATAGTCTTTTCTTGCCTGGACATTCATTCCCAAATGAGACCTTCCCTTACCTACGAATTGCTTCTGATTTCCTAGCCAGCCCCTGACTGATACAGATGTGTTACAGAAATGAAGGAAGTAGTGCGGAGATCACAGTCATATGGTTGCATGGGGTGTCAGGGTTGAAGTATAATTTTGATCCCCTTTCTCCTCTCATTTACAGCTTCTTGATTTGCCCCCTTCAGCCTGGTATGATGAGAAAAGTTAAACTTGGTAACTATCCTCTAACTTGTCCTTTCAAACTAGAAAAGATATAAAATTTGCCTTTCTGTTGGAAACACTTATCAAACCAAAGGAAAAAGCATGCTGTAACCAGCTGCGTACTAAAGTACGTCAAACAGCCTTCAATGTCTTGCAGATTTTCCTAAGCGAATCAGGTTTTGTGAGATAGGAGACCAGAAGGGCCATATATAAGAGAGTAATAGAGCACACCCTTTGGAGATGAGACATTTGGGTGTGGGTGAATCCTGGTTTCACTCATTACCAAGACACTTAGGTTCTTTGAATCTAATTACTCATCTGTGAAAATAATAAGCTCCTTTTTGTAGTCGTTATGCATATTATTAGTAATGAGGGTGTTGAGTGACTATAGCTAACAGTTGTAGAGTATTTAGCACGTGTCAGTCATTCTTCTGAATGTACCTCACATGAGTGCACTCACTCAGTCATTCCCCATAATAATGCTAAATGAGACAGTTAAAGAATGTAGTGATGCCGACAAAGTCGCATGCTCAGATAGTCAAATATCTGACTCTGTTCCTTGAGTCAGAGTTGGAAAATGTCAGGTGCCATAGGGTGAGTCTGCAAGTTTCTCTTGCTGACTTTGCACAGTTGTCGCAAATAAACAGCAGACTGCCTGGTACCGCAGGCACGTGCTGAGTCAGTAGCAAGATGGTGCTAGAACTGGGCTGAAATGGAGAACAGTTAGCAGCAGGTACAGGCAGGTGACTCTAAGGAGGAAGAAACACCCCGGAGAAGAGTTCGGTGAGGCAGAATCTCAGGAAGTTTCACTTAGTGAGGTGGATGTCAAAGAAAAATGGAACCTAGATTGTATACTATGATAGAGGCTCTTCAGATTAAGGAATGTTCCATAACCAATTACCTAAACTTACTAGGAAGAGTACACATTACTCCTGGGTTGAAAATAAAAATAGAACAGAGGGGAGGATTTTGCCAAAACCAACTCTCAAACCATAATTATGGGAACTGCGTGGTCCTGATACCAGAGTAGGTAAATGGATCAGTGATCCAGAAATGAGAAGTCATGTCTCAACTACAAGTAGAAACTTGATACACAGCACATAGACCACCTGTAATTCAGTGGAAGAAGAGATAAATTGTGTTGGGGAAAGTGGTTCATATGTGGAAAAAAATAAATAAATAAGGACTCGGCTCATTTTGCAAACAAAATAGAACTCTGGAAGGATTAAGCCAAATAGAAAATCTGCAATGATTGGGAGAAGATAGCTTCAATGTTAAAAACAGCTACCATACAGATTTATATTTAAAATTTAAGGTAAAAGGAACTCATACAAATTAGCACAAAAATATGATACCCAATTTAAATGTAGAGATCGCAGATGAACAAAAAATAGATACAAGGGGAAATATGAATGCCCAATAATTGCATGCTCAAGAGTTCAAACTCACAGGAAATCAGAAAGAAGAAAATTAGCAGACAATGAGATATACCTTTCTAGCCATAAGACTTGGCAAAAATCTGAAAGATGGATAATATGAAAGATGAGGACACAAAATAGGACAGTCTCATGCAATTGGTGGTGGTGTCAAGGGATTCAGTGATTCAAATCTTAGAAATGCTTAGTGAAATTAAATTTGCGGGTTCATGTTTATTCACAAACAGAGTGAACTGGAGACAGATAATCAGTGATCTGGTCTTCATTTACTTGATTGCTGCCCTTGGAATTCTTCATAAGTTTATGAAAGTTAACAGCAGTGCTTTCATTATGTGCCATTCTCTACAACTGAGCCATCTTCACCTCTGGAGCTGTGACCTCCTGTCTACAAGCCGGCTTCCCTGACAGGACCCTGTACAGATAGAAAGAAATACAGATTTTTAAGTTTCTCACACCGTTCTTCTACCCAGCCCCTGTGACTAACTAAGCTGTGGATACATGTTGAAGTTATTCTTCTAGAGCACGAGGACAATTTCTGAAGGTAATTACAATGCCACAGAGCCCTCAGTGAAAGACAATTTGAATTTCAGCTGATGAGAAAAGATACAAAGCAGTAACGACTTGCACCAACAAGGTCTCTGATCTGATCTTTGCCCTTAAATTTGCTTTGGAGAATCACCCACATCCCTGTAAACACTACAACCTCAACACCACTTTTCCTGAAAGAGATCAGTGGCTCTGGTATCTTTTTCCCACCCTTCCTCAAGGATCACTGGCTCCAGAATCAGAGATGCCCCTGCAGATAAGAGGGGCACAGAGAGGTTAAGAGAAGAACTCAGCTTGAGTTTTTAATATGCGGGGCCTAACAACCTCTTGGCTGTTTGATTTTCTTTATTTCAGTGCATCCCTTGAAACAAATATTTTTTCTTTAACAGACACAAAGCTAAGATACAACTTGAATGGTTATTTCTTCTAATTAACAAAGTTTGGCAATGGGTTCCTGTGGTGGTGTTCTTCAATGACTTTACCAACACATGGCGTTGATGGCATTAACAAATTCTATGTCAGTGTTTTAAAGGCCGCTCTCTTCATATTTCTGTTCAGATTTTTCTCTGTGGTTGAAAGATGGTCAGTGGATTAAGGGAGGTTTGAGCTTCTGATTGTTCTACCCTCGAATGAATTAATGAAGAGGAAGGCAGAGATGAGATAGTCAGGGACCACCACGGTGGGACAAAAGGCTGGGGCAACAAAATACGCTTTGGGGCACAGTAAACTATTCCTCTCTGTGGCATGGCATGTAGCTTCTCTACCTTGGTGATCTTTCCAACAAGTTTGTCATGAGCCTCTCACAAAATCATCATTGCAGAATATTTACACAAAATGATCAAGATTTTACTGAGGGGAAACATCAGAATAGTCTCTAGCTTCAATTGCTCTTAGTTTACTAAAGATCACTAATTTTGGAGATCACAAGGCTGGATAATACATTATTAATTCTGTGCTAACTTTGCTGTGGAAACCACCCCTGATGTGTGAGTTATAATAGTGATTGGCTAAGTTATTCTGCGGGGATCGGAAGGTCAGTTTTACTGAAAAAGGTGACTCTTCAGTTGGGCCCACAGATATCTGATGGGTGGCTGGAATAAGATAAAAAGGTTGGTATTGTGTGTGTCTCTCCCCTTTGCTGCCTTAACTTTGGCTCAGATTCTGCACAGCTCTGCACGTACACTTGCTTTGATTGCCTTTTGGAACTGATGTGTGTGGCTTTTCCTCCGTTGTCTCTCCTTTCTTTTTTTGCCTCCATCTTTGTGTTCCTTTGACACATGCAGCAACCAAGCACCTAAAGTTTAAAGTCCTGTAGCCTAATCATAAGGCCCAGAACCATGAGACTGAGATGTTCTGTGCAGCACAATGATGTCAGTGACACAAAAATTTAATAGCTCCCAGCATAAATTGACTCAACCTCCAGTGACCCAAATCTTGCATAAGAAGAAACATCTTTTGGAACCATGTTCCTGGTTAATGGAAATTACTGCACTGGAGTTCACCCCAAACAAACTGAGGGAAGGAAGGGACAGTGAAAAGATTTAAGATGTGCTGGGTACTCCTACCAAACACCCACAATGAATATTAACATTAATTGTCATAAGCAGGAATTAATAGTAATAAATAATAGCAACAGAGGATTTAGAGGTGGAGGGATGAGGGTGGGCAGGAAAAGGAAGGAGAACTAAAAAAAATCAAGGTGTGTTATTTACCTGTTCCTGTTTCTGTTCTCTTAAGAGCTTCAAGTACAGCAAATGCGTGCTAGTAAAAAACAACCAAAACCTGTTTATCTCCTTTTTAGAGAGCAGCTTTGTCCCTCTCTGACCAGTGCTGACTTCCTTCAGCTCTGATTGAAGAGGACCTGCGTAGGGTAAAGAAGTCTCAGGAAAGCTGCCCCTGAATATTCACCAGGGTTTGGCATGATTTTGTTTTTAACCTCTCCAGGTCAAAAGATCCTATCTTGTAACAGAAGGAGACAGGAAAATATAGCACAGTTCATCCTGAAGAAATATGGAGGTTTCTGTAGGAGTTTGAGATAGAAATGCAGGGAAGTATTAGCCTGAAATAGAGGCAACAGCAGAAAGAAGAATGGGAGAGGGGAGGGTAAGGAACGTGTCCCTGGTGAGCTTGAGTCTTGGATAACAAGCAAATATTGGGACAGAGGAAAAGGAAGGAGTTGAAGCTGTCACTAAAAAGAGTGACCTCAGGATAACCAGGTGGCATTGAGAGTGGGATGAATAGGCAGGATGTAGCTGGGAAATAGCATGTTTGAGGTTCGTTTGGTACAGACGAGACAGCCAGAACAGTAGTCACAGCAATTCCAATAAAGTTTGAAAAGTAGAGTTCTCCAGTAAATTCCAATGAACAGGAATTTATGGAAAGGTATTTATGGCTTGTGTGGGAGAATGATTGGGACTGAAGCTTAGGTATGTAGAAGTTATTGGCATAAAGATTAGATGAGGCCAGAAGAGCAGGTGAAGTTAACTCAGGCAGAGCAGTTAGTGTTAGTAAAAAACAAGAAGGATACACAATTAAATTTGAATTTGTAATTAACTTTTTTACTATATTACATGCAGGGTGCAACTTGTCCTGTAAATAATTTGTTATTTATCCAAAAATAAGCTTATCAGGGCCCATGAATTTTATCCAGCAGCCTTGGAGGGGCCTGCAGGATCAAGAAGGGCCATTTCCCAGGGCAGCTGGTAAGGGAAGCACGTGGCGGTGTGGGGAACCTGGGCAATGTGGAACACCTGGCTCTCATTCCAGGGCTTTCCACCATGGCTTCAAGGGTGTCCAATAATCTAATAGTTCAAAACATTAGACTAATATGCAATATGTATTGTCAGTGGGTCAATTTTTTAAACAAAAATTTATTAAGCTGCATTGAAAAGAAAATAAAGATTATTACTGTAAGCTATTTTTTATTTAGAGAAAACAGAAAAAAGGGTAGAAATAATACAGAATTTCAAAAAAAGAGTAAGAAATCACTAGTTGATAAATTATATATTATTATCTTAGAAGTAGTTTCTCAAGTCACAAAATCAAAGCATAGAAAGTGGACAATCAAACAATGATAGTACAAACCATTCTTTTGATGAACTAACAAAATATCTTATTATCTCTCTAGTATAAAAAATAATAATGAAAAACTGAAAGAGTAATAAGATCCAAAATGTCAATAGATATTGAGATAATGACAGGGAAAGAAAGTGCTCTACAGGATATAACTGTAAGTGTGTTTAAGTGTGCAAGACAGATAAGCATACTACTAAGTCAATCTTTTAAGCAATGCAAGAAAAACAATGTGCAGTACAGAGAATGTTCTGTGGGATCCACAAAGGACAGGGAGCCCTGGTTTGTATCCTCTGACCGAATCTCTGGAGTGGGTGGGAAAAGGTTTTATCCTATACATCAAATTACAGTGTCCTGCAATGTGAGGGCAAATACTCAAGGCATGAGAAAGGTCAGCTGCAGGCAGATAACTTCCTATGCAAAGGGTGGGAGGTGGCAGTGGCTTCTCTGGTCCACCTCTGGTCTCCCCTTTCAAAGCCCGAATGTGCCACTGTCCTCGTGGACATGCACACACAGCTCTGGCCAGGACTGAGTTGCTCTGCAGATTAGAGGAAGGTGAGCGGAGCCTGCCAGTCTTTTCAGACAGCACAGCCACAGCTATTGGTGCTCAGCGGCTTTCATCAGAAATCTGTGGGTAGAAACTTCCAGGGGTTTGCTCTGAGCTTCTGAGGTTTCTTCTCTGCTTCAGGCATGAAGTGAGTGGGTGTCTCTCTGAGACACAGAAAAAGAAGACAAGAGAGAGAGAGAGGTGTTTCCCTTGGCTATGGAAACTCTATAAAGACAGAAGCAACTTTTCAGCAGGCAGCACCAGCCTCGACAGGACTGAGAAGTGAAACTCTTTGCCGTGCCGGCCCGGGGCACTGAATACCATGCAGCAGCACCCGAATTGTCCGTATCCCCAGATCTACTGGGTAGATAACAGCTCGAGCTCTGCCTGGGCTCCTCCAGAGTCGGTTTTCCCCTCTCTGCCCTCCAGGCCTGGTCAAAGGAGACCACCACCACCACCACCACCACCACTGCCACCACCACTTCCACCACTGCCCCCACTGCCCCCACTGCCACTGTCAACTTTAAAGAAGAAGAGGGACCGCAACACAGACTTATGCCTCTTCGTGATATCTTCCGTGGTGCTCGTGGCCCTGGTTGGCCTGGGGCTGGAAATGTACCAACTCTTCCACCTACAGAAGGAGCTGGCAGAGCTCCGTGAGGTAAGTCTGTCTGCCATTTGGGTTGTTGGGTCCCAGAGTCACTGGGCTTAGGACTGTGGTGCTGCAATGGAGGGCGAGAAGGCCATTGTGAGTCACAGGCACCACTGCTTTGCTTTCAAAGTAGTTTTTTAAAGGCATTTTTTCCTGTGTTAAAAACATAGAGTCCTATGGGTAAAGCGAATATTTTCTGACTTGTGAAAAATCAGAGGCAAATAATTCTTCCTCTCAGTTGTCAGGTCACTCTGTTGAGATACTGCCCAATACCTAGTGACTGAAGGAATAATAAGACTTTTGAGCCTCATTTGGAAGAGAACTTGTTCAACTGGTCAAGTAAATTTCCTTGAAAAGACTTGAGAATCCTGGCACTATTCCAGATCTCCAAGCTGAGGGACAGTGAGGCACAAGACAGTGAGGCACAGTTGCTTGGACAAAGTGTAAGTTAGGCAAGGATTTGAGACACTTGAATTCTCTCCAGGGCTTGCTTGATACAGCGATTCTGCCTTGTTTGATGAAGTATCTAAATTTATTATATATATTTTTTCTTTCTCTTTTGCTAGTCTACCAGCCAAAGTCAAATGAAATTATCTGTGGAGAAGCAAATAGGTGAGTCCTATATTCATGTACACTGAGTTCCTGAAGTTGGTGGAATGTCTTGAGTTCCATCCCATTGTTGGGCTTATGAACACTGTGAGAGGAGTCCTGGCTAGTTCTGGATATCTGGTCAATACGGTTCCTTGAGCTACTTAAAAGTAGTAAGTGAATTTCATTGCTCAAAATCAATGCGGCTGAGCACTGCACATAATTTAAACTAGTTTTCACCTGACCTTGAAAAGTGATACTCATGCAACCTTGGATCTTTGCCCCCGACTCCGGGCAGTGGGCTCCAGGCTTGGCCCCTCTTGAGACATCCTGGTTTCAGCATGCACAGCCATGGTTGTGACTCCTAGGAGAGAAGACACAGATGTGTCCATGCAATTTCCTTTCCTCTTTTAAATTCTCTAAAAGTAACTACTTAGCAATTAAGCTTTATTTAAAAATATTTTATGATATCTAAATAAGCTTTTAAAAAGTGAGCAATGTATGCCCACATTAGTATGTTTCTTTTGAAATCACTGGGAGGCTTGGAGGAAGATTTTAGCCATGATTAGAAGGATTGTTTAGCATTACCCATGGAGAACTCAGGAGTTACCTTTGATGACAAAGGAAGGATCCTTTGTTTGATATCCAGGACAGGAAGACGTTGAATATCAACCTCATGAAATTATAGGGTATAGTTGTGGGAGCTGTAGACAGAAGAATTTTAGGATATGCTGTGTTTGTCTTAAACTCAGAATTTTTAGATTTGGTTTGTGTCGGAAATAGCTTATGGCATATGTGGTCTAGCCCTCTCATTTTTTAAGAAGAGAAACAAAACTTCAAACAAATTAAATGATAAGCTCAAGATGACTGGTGTGGAACAGGCTAGAAGAAAAGGGGTCTCCTGGTGACTGGTCACCTACAGGGCTTTCTGGCACATGGTACCTTCGAAAGTGACCAACCTCCTGTCTCTCTATAATGGCCATGGAATAAGAAAGCAGGACTCCTCTGGAAAGACAGTGGTAAATCTTATCCTTAGAAACTTGGCAGGAAACAAGGCAACAGGCAGCACTGGCCATCCATATTCAGTCAGCTCTTGTAGGAACCATCATTGAAATGTTCTGGTCCCCAATTCTGTATCCAAATTCCTAAGGCTTAGCAAGCCCAGGAGGACACAGCAGGGTGGAAATATTTGTTAGAGAAGAAAGCATCTGGAGGATTTCTAAAGTAAAATCACCTTGAAAACAGTGGAATGAAGCTGGTGAAATGGGAAATGAAGCTGGTGAAAACAGTGGAATGAAGCTGGTGAAATCTTTCACCCACTCTGTGGAGTCATTTCAGTGATGAAAAGTCAAATGAACAGATGAGTCAGGTCTACCTACCCCAGGAAACAATTATCTTCTTAATATCAACCCAGTGCGATCAGAAATTGGTGAATTATCACATGGAAATCAAATTAGTAGCTTTTCTGATAAGAGATGTAAATTTTTAAAAGGAGGGCCACCTATTTCACCAATCAAGTTAGCAAAGATTGAAAACAAGGTTGGCCAAAGGTGTGAGAGAAAATGACCTCCTTAAATGGTGTTAGCCAGTATGCATGTAAATTGCTGTAACTTCTAATGAAGAGCTTGGAAAGACATATCAAAAATCTGGAAGCTATTTGTTTACCTTGTAACCCATCACCAAAAGGTTAAGAAAACTAATTTGAGATATGCCCAAGGATTTATAGATGTTCATCATTCCCTCACAAGGCTAGTGATAATCAGCAAATTCCGTAGAAGCCTAGGTGCTTCCAAATAGAATTATTAAATATATTATGGGATATTCAGAGAAAAGCAAAATGTCCAGCAAGTAAAAACTGCATAGGAGGAGATCTAATACTATGAGGAGATGCTCCCTCAATCATAAGATAAAAGACACATTTGCAAAAGGATAGGTCTAGTGTAGCTCTGACTCTGTGACTATACATAAGTTTATATTATTACAAAGAACTGAAAGATTGTATGTACACACAACACATTAATGGTGATTTTCTCTGGGAGATACTGTTATGGATTATTTACACTTTATTATTTACTCCTCTTTTCGTTTTTCAGTTTTTCACACCTTGCTAACTAAATGTCTTATTCATCCACAAATAGTCTTTGAGTGTCTTCTGTATGTCAGGCTGGGTGTTAGGTAATAACCAAGAGTAAGAGTAACAAGGAGGTCTGTCCTTATGGAACTTTAGCCTAGTGGAGAAGATAAAGTCAAGCAAACAAGTAATATGATTACAAACTGAGACACTAAAGGTGATCCAAAGGGAAATGGTAAGGAAAGTCCCCCCCTAGGTTGTCTATGGCACCCATGGAGGCTTGACCAGAAGTCTGCCGAATGAAGAGTTGTATGTGTTGTGAAGTGCAGATAAAGAAGAGATCATTTCACACTGGGAATGGCATATGCAAAGGCCCTGAAGCAGGAAAAAGTCATCTCTTTTAGTATTTACCAAGCAGATACTGCAATTGAGTATCTTTTACGAGAATAATATTATACCAGGCTCTGTGTATACAGCTTGGGGTTCTGTGTTCTACTTTCTGTTAATGGATGGCTGAATGCCACATCAGCTGTTCAGATGCTTTGTGCTGCAGGAATGTAGAGGAGACTCAGGCTTTCCTTTCTGGTTTACTCACATTTCCTTCAAAGTGGGTTGTCTTGAGTGGCTGTAAAGGTCATGATTGCTCAGGTAATATTCTCAAGGATCTGGGTTATTCTTTATACTCAGTATGTAAATCACAAGCCTGAGATGAATACTGTTTTGTGAATCTTTTTTGTTTGTCTTCTTTTGTTGACTTAATCATCTAAGTGGTAGCTTTTTGTTTTTGTTTTTAAACTTTGGGTGAAATATTTGAAGTCAGAGAAGTAGTACCTAATTTGAGAATAAGGTCAGTTTCACTTGGCAAGCATTTCCTGATGCTTGGTCTGTGTTGAACTCTCAAGAGTTCAAAATACAGTAAAGAAATTACCATTTACTTGGGGGGAGGTGGTGAGAGGTGTTTAAAGCTGCTACAGGAAAGGGGGCAGCACAGCGAGAGAGGTGAAGACAGCACCCTGGATTTGGTTCAGGAGTCTCCAGTGCTGTCCCATCTCTGACACTGGCGATAGTAATTAAGCTTCTGAGCTCATTGTGCCACCTAGGAAGTGGGACAGTAACCCCTCGCTCAGAAGATCACAGCAAGCTCTAAAGATAACACTGGACGAGATGGCTCTTTTATACATCATGGTTTATATTAACTGCGTTTTATATAACTGCATCATTTATATGTACATCTCCCTTAATTTGGCTTAACTTTTAACTCCTCTGCTCCTGAAATATAGACTGCCATGGCCAACAGTTTCATTTTGGATAATAAATGTATACTAGAATATTGCCATTTATGCTTTTAAAATCTTTTATTGAAATTGCAGAATTTAGAGTCCCATCAGAATACCAGTTGGCATCTCCTTTTTTAATCTATATTTTTTCTCTGCTTTTCTGCCAGGCCACCCCAGTCAACCCTCTGAAAAAAAGGAGCCAAGGAGAGCGGCCCATTTGACAGGTCTGTATCTGGAAGGCACAGGTGGAGACTTGGGAAGCCTCTGGAAAAAGCAAAACTGTGCCTAGTTTCTGTCCCTGCGCTTTGAAGAGAGTATTTTTTTTTTGGTTGGGGGCATTTGGAACCCAAAAGCACTCCTGTCTTTGTGTGCAGGTAGCTCTCGTGCCCCTAAAATGAAGCTATCAAGCTGTACCCCATAAGGAGCTACCTCATTCCAGTCGTCCCTTTGAGGATTTGATACACAGGTCCCAGAAGACACCTGAGAACTTGGAGGATGTTATTTTAGTCAATGCATCCCTGGTTTTCTGGCAGAGCTTTAGTCAAATGTAGGCACAGGAATAAGAGCAGACACTTGGTCCTGGCAGGGTGTGTTTTCCTCACGTGATCGTACAGTGAGGTGAAATGGTTTGACAGTCATACACGGTGGGAGTTCCCTTGTATCCACAGTTATCTGAAAACCAGCACAAAAAGTGATGTGCTCCTGGAATCACTAAGGCAGAGAGTGCAGAAGGATTCAGCTGGATCAGCCAACACTTACTAAGTACCATCTGTGTGCCAAGATCAGGAGAGCCAAGATTTGGAGACACTCCTCAGCTCCAAGGAGCTTGAAATCTAACCAGACAGGACAGGAATATAGTGATAATCTCAGTACAGGAGACAGTTTGTTGATTAAAGTCATATACAATGCTGTGGGGATTTTAGCCCAAACAGAGGGCTAAGAAATCCTTACTGTAAGTAAAAAGATAGACAAGATGATCCCTAAGATCTGTGTAAACTTTAGAATTTCCTAGATTTGGCTTCTCACTTCATAGATCTTGAAATTTAGGAGTTTTTGGTGCTTGTTCTGAAAAATCATGAAATCTTTTTCCCAGAGAACTAAAATTATCTTGATATTTTCCAATACAGTTAATTGGGAGTATATGTAATTTGTACCAGTTGTATATATGATTAAGGTGGAGGCAGGCAATGTGTCCAAGACTTTGAAGAATTCAGAGATGGATCAAGTTCTGCCTTTTTATCCATTTCTTCATGGGCTGTCATGCTATATAAAACATTCATTAAATGAAGGTCCATGGTTTTGCCGTGCAGGCTTAGCTTGTTGGATACATAAGCATTCCTGGCTGAGAGCACCCCTCTGATTTATTTCAGGCAAGCTCTACTCACGGTCCATCCCGCTGGAATGGGAAGACACCTATGGAATTGCCCTGATCTCCGGAGTGAAGTATAAGAAGGGTAGCCTCGTGATCAATGACACTGGGCTCTACTTCGTGTATTCCAAAGTATACTTCCGGGGTCAGTCTTGTGACAACCAGCCCTTGAGCCACAAGGTCTACATGAGGAACTCTAGGTATCACCAAGATCTGGTGCTGATGGAGGGGAAGATGATGAGCTACTGCACTACTGGTCAGATGTGGGCCCGTAGCAGTTACTTGGGCGCCGTGTTCAATCTCACCAGTGCCGACCGTTTGTATGTCAATGTATCAGAGCTGTCCCTGGTCAACTTTGAGGAATCAAAGACATTTTTTGGCTTATATAAGCTCTAGGAAGGGTAATTGAGGATTTCCCCATTATGGCTGCTTGTGAGAGGCACTGTTTTGAATGAAGGTCTCAAGCCTGCTGGTGGTTAAGTGAGAAGACATGAACCACAAAGACCTTGCATGAACAAGGTTCAGAAAGTCTGCAGTCCCTCACTTCACCTAAAGTCTATGTGTCAGACAAGAGGAGAAACAGGACTGAAACACATCAAGCTCTGAGCTGCCTCTTGAGGACGTGGAGGCATTGAAAAGCAGCTGTCAGGTATTGTAGACTCATGTGGCCAAGAATGTTTTGGCACATGGGAAAGGACACGTTTTAACTCACCTCCCAGGGAGGGTATATTTTCTACCTCAAGGGAGATCATCGTTCATGTGACTGTGACAGGTGTATGTGGGGGATACTAAAGGGGGATCAGCCTTACATAAAGTAAAGAGACTGAAGGAAATCCATCCCCCATTGCTACCATTTTGAGTTTTAGACACACGTCATGAGCCACCAGGTGATGCTGACAGAGAAACAGGTGGATCCTTAGGGATCTGATTCATTTCCTGCACATCATGAATATTTCCAGCATAATTATAAGGGTGGTGTGTGTGTGTGTGTGTGTGTGTGTGTGTGTGTGTGTGTGTAGAAAAGAAGCAGAAAGAGACAGAGAGAGAGACATTTTAAAGTGTCACATAAGTAAAGAGAATGTGGGAATTGTGAAGTACATGTGTGCTTGGAAATTCTGTGTTGCATTTGGCAGCAGATTTTGAATGCATCTTGACAACTCACTCTAATAGTCCTCAAAAATATTAGATTGTCACTTGCTGATGTTCAGCTACTGATTGTTTTCCTTTAATATGATCAATATTTATATAAATTTTGTGGATTTTTATTGAACGCAAGACCTGTAATAAAATCCATATTTTAGAAGACAGAATTTTGGTCTTTGCCGGAATTAAAAAAAAATAAAAATAAACAGAATACACAAAAGGATTGTGACTATAAATTTTAGAAATCGCTGATTTGTGCTTTTTTGCTTGTGTTATTTCTTTTATCTATGATTTCTTCATTCCTAGTGACTCCAGACCACTTTAAGAAGAATTTAAGTGAGAACTATGTAGCAAATTCTTCCATCTTTGCCAGACTTTCCTTGTATCTTTCTCTACTCTGTTTCTGCTATTATCTTCCATTATTCAGAGTTTCCATTACGAATAGTATTACCAGTATTAAACTCACAATGTGTACTTCCCAGTACACATTTAAAAGGTATATAGTGATATGCAATGAAGGTAAGTTCTCTTCCAATTTATCCGATGACCCCATTTCTGCTTTCATAGAGAATCATTTCTTATGTAGAAATGCTCTTACAATGCTTATATAATATGACTTTCTTTTCCATCAGGGTTTCTCAGTCTTGGCTCTGTTGGCCTTCTCTAGATAAATGTTTATAACAAGCAGTATTCTGTGCAATGGATTACACTCACCTGCCCTCAACTCATGAGATGCCAGTAGAATCTTGTACACAGTACTACCTCCCCATGTGACAATAAAAAAAACACAAACCCTCCAGTCATTGTCAAATGTCCTGGGGAGTGAAGGGAGAACAAATGACTCCTACTTAAACCTGTGGGGAATAATGCTAATTTTGTCATAAAGGCACATTATTGTGGGTGTATGATGCCCACTTTTATTCTTTAGAAAATTTCTATTGATGAATTATTAATTTTAATTTTATAAGTTTTATTACATTAAACAATGAATACTTCACAGGAAAAAATAAACTATGAATTTTTAGTATTTATTGGGTGTTTAGAAGAAAGCATCAAAATTTTCAATATTGACTGTTTTTTGGTGTACAAAGTCTAAAAAGTAACACAACCAATAAATTTTTGTATAAGCCACAATGAAAATACCAGTTGAACTCTACAACAAAAATAATGTTTGAGAGCTAGGGATTTAGCTCAGCAGCACAGCGCCTGCCTGGCAAACCCAAGGTCTTGAGTCGAATTCCTGGTACCAAAATAATAATAATAATAATAATCTTTGTTTCAACTGTCATACCCAAGGCAGTCATCATACATGACAACTGCATGTTCCATGTACCATCTCGCCTATACTGGCAGCACGTATGTTTTCCTGAATTTCCTTGTGAGGTCCAGTTGACATCTTTGTTGCTTTCCTGTTGTCATAGGAAGTCTTTGTTGTACTGCGCCTGCCTGTTCACCTGTGAACTCACCAGTGCCTCACAGATTTTTTCTATAGTTCCCAGCTAGAAACATTTTAGTTTTTCTGTGCTGTACTGAGTTCTAATCCCAATCTTCTAAGAAAATTTCTCACTGATATTTTGTTTGTATTTTTCTTTGTAAACTATCAAACTATTTATGCCACACATGTTTAAGGTAGAACAAAACACAACCACTGGCCAACACTTTGTGTTTCAAATGGCATCACAGTTGCTGCAGAACCTACCTGAACACATACTCCACCTTTGGTCTTGTTGTAGAAAGTCATCTCAGTTTTCTGCTTGGCCAAGGCTTCCCTGTCAATATTACCATTGTGGTGCAATGTTGATATCAGTCCTATCAGTTTTTCTTTGCCATTGTCATATCTTTCTGAAATGCAAACACTGTACTATACAATTCTCTGTTTTGAAATTGCAACCTTTCACTTGCAAGTTCTGCTTTGCTCCTGTGTACATGTCCTGCACTGGTCAACATATGCTTTGTTAGCAAACGTAACATCAAATGGAAACTGATAAACCAGTTGTTGAATGTCACATTTTGATTAGCTGGTGAGATGGGAGCTACAGGTCTGTTTGCATCATGATACAAATATAGTATCTACTATACAAATAAGGATCTGATTCCAGCATAAATGATCAAACAGAAAACATAATAACTCTCCGTATCTGCAAGGGCCTGAATATTCATGTGATATTTTGATTCAATGCTTTTTCAATAAGTCTTTACATACCTCTGTTCACCATAAGAAATCTGTGCTAAGCGCAGCAGACTTGGAAATGCTTTCAATCAGCTAGTTAGGTATGATAATAAATGCATTTTTGCATGTGGCTACTAAGGCATGCATTTTACTTGTATTTCAGTCTTTGTGTATTTCACAGCATCTTGTGCCATATTGTCTGTTACAATTTCCAACATTCATTGGCAGTGCTGACATTCTGTCCAATAAGTTTCACCCCTGCCAAAACCTTCACTGTATTTTCAGGCATAGTTGTAACACTGAACCTAATTTTAACATTGCTTTTTTCCATGTGGTTGCATGGCCATTTTGCAACATGTTGACTAGTCTAATATGTACTTATATTACTGATTTCTTGGTCCTATGAAACTAGAAGGTCTACATTCCCTATGTATTAGTCCACTCGTTCCATTTCCTTGTCCCAGGAACTTTGGCTCAAATAGTCAATGTCAGAGTTGATGTTGACATTGTCGTCATCCTCATCATCGTCATCCAGCCATACCACTCTCCTGTTATGAGAGCAGTTTTAGCATAATAGACCATTTTCATTATCCATGCACACATAATCTGACGATTCACTTTTGACCTCTAAAATTTGGAAATCTGGTTTTTCATGTGCCACTGTACTGAGTTGGACTAATTCTACCAGAAAAATCAAAATGAACACGCATTTCATTATAATAAAACACATAAACATAGCGGAATGTATAGGTGTATTGCACCACTCATGATACTCAGATAAACATACTCAAAATCTGTTGGAACATAAATGTGAGTAAAATACTATTTTGATGATTTTGCACACGTACACGCACCTTGCCATTTGCCATATCAAATGGGCAAATACAAGGATCTCTTCCTGTATCCCGCATGAGCAGCTACTGAGGTGCATAGCCGGGTAGTACCATGCTAAAATACAAATTTACAGTAGAAAAGTATAGAATGGTTCATTGTAACCCAGAATCAAGCCCTCTGGGTATTACAAAACACTACTGGATGGGCATGGTGGTGCATACTTGTAACCCTAGCACTTTAGGAGGCTGAGACAGAGCATGAATTCAAACCTACTCTGGGCAAATCAGCAACTTACTAAGAACCTGTGTCAAGATAAAAAATAAAACAAAATAGACAGGGGCTGGGGTATAGCTCAAGGTGAAGACCGTGAGTTCAGTCCAGTACTACAAAAAGCAAACAGTGACAGTGGCAATACCACAGCTTTACATTAATGATCATAGATATAAAATCATTGTTCAACACTGCACACTTTGTCTTTTTTTCCTAGTTAGCAATTGTTCACTTTTTGTGTCATTTATATTGCATTTTTTTCTGTGGCAAACCAGGCACATCCTTTCCTTCCACCATGTGACTTTCCTTCCATAATTCTATCTGCATTTGTACAATACCCTTTGATCTAGTTACAATGGAGGCAGAGAAGAATCCATTCATCCACTCGACTCACATTTCCTCCTGCCTATTTTGCCACTTTTATGGTTTTCTTCTCTGAATCCTCAAACTTTCCCCATGATGAAATCATTTCAACAGTATGTACACATGTTCAAGTTCTTTTTCATGAATCAACAACCAAAACAAAACAAAACACCCCAAACTTTTCTTTCCCCTTCAGTTCTGGCTTTATTTCTCCTCTCTGATACAGATCAACATTTAGCTGGTGTTTCCAGCTGCATGGCCTCCATTTTCTTTACCAGGATGCTCTGCTCTGCCCCAGGGTCTTCAAATGGTCTTCATATGTCACCCTCAGATCACCCCAAGTACAGCCCTCTTTTCTTAGTATTTTATTTCTATTTCTTTCTTCCTTAGTAGTGTTTATAACTTGTGTTTATAATACTTTTTGACCACTTACAAATAGTAATTGTTTTCACTGGAATCAAAGCTCTAAAAACAAGAGCTTTACTCCTCAGTCCTTATTACTTACTATTTATTACTTATTAGTTAATTACTTAAGTAATTAATTACTTATTATTAAGTAATTAATAATGCTCAGTCATTACTTAACACAGTGCATGGCCCATATGAGACATGCAATAAATATTTGCTGGCCAAGTGTCCTCTCAGCTCTTGGTATGCAGATATTTTATAGAACAAGGGAATCTGTGAATACAGCTTCCTGAATGAGTGTTCAATCTAGTTTTCAGTAATTATCTCAGTAATTTAACTGAGTAATTTAACTCAAAGCACAAAGAATTTCAAAACTCTAAAGCTTTTGAGGTATTCATTGAAATGAGACCTGCTGTTGTTCCTTCATGAAATGCTAAACCCAAAGTAGAACCCGCATGTAAGAACATTGCCTCTAGTTTGGTACTTTGAGGTTTTCTTTGTATCTTTCTTTTCAAACATCTAGAAACACACAAAACCCCTGCCTTTTCTTAGCCCACCAGAGTGGTAACTTTGTCTTCTCTGAAGTAGGTTTTGACTTACCACAACTTAACAGGAAAAGAACTCTACTGTTGCACATCACTGTGAGAGTGAGTAATTTAAGATAATTGCTCTTCAGAAGAGACAAATTGGAGGGAGAAGCCTGGCCTCTCAAAGTCCTGCTCTATTTAGTGGATCAATCTCTAGACACTCCCTAATCCTTCTCTCAGATCACCTGCTAATTTATGAATTTTTAAAGGGGTTTGGATAAAATCTGGTGTTTGTAGAAACAAATTTTTTACTTACTTTCTTCCTTTCCTAAGCTTTGGATCATACAGAAGCAAATTGAAGAAATTCTAGAAAAGGGGGCTCAGAATTCCATTTCTGAGCCCTGTTCAGAAATAATACAGCTATTGGTAGTCCCTGAGCTTTGGGATTCACACAGAAACCAAACACTCTTGGCATTGTAGAAGACTAAGAAGACGTTCACCTAGAAGGAGGAAGATATCAACCCAGTGAGGACTGGCTCACTTGTCCCCAAGTGTCCCTGTCATCTGGAGATAGGGCTCCCCCATCACTGGATGGTGCATCTTCAGAAAAAAGACAAGGTAGATGGTCTTCTTCCTCAGCTTGGAGGCTCCTGCAGCCTTGAAGGGTCACACC